GCATGTAAAATCACACTGACCATTAGAATGATATATTTATTATTGAAGTATTATATTTGACTAATAATATATATATCACAGTACAGTGGTTAGTATTCCTCCTTCATATATAGTAGTTTGAAATTGTGGTCTAGAGACTAGCTATCCTGATGCCCCACTCCAATGCAAGTGCTATGATAGTACCTCCAAATGGACCACAATTGTTTTTTTCCATGTACTTTCCATTAAGTTGTAACTGTCTGCCATTGGTGTCACATAATTTTTGCAACTGAGAAAGTGCTATTACATGAGTCAGTAAATGAACAGCTGATATGACTGCCATAATTTTTAATACCTTGTACCATTCTCCATGTAGCTCACGTGCTTGGCCTGGGAACCATATTTGAATGTCCAGCTCTACTAAATTTTATTTCCACTACTTAACAATTTTATATTCATATATATATATATATATATATATATATGTTTTGTTATCTTCAGGCCCAGTATATAATTCCTTAACATTTTCATTTATTTATTTCCTGTAACCTTTCTGGTTTATTTAATATAGGTAGTTTATTGGTCCTATGCTCAATCTTTTGTCATTGGTAGGTCTTCTGAAGTGAATTACTGAAGATCTTCCAAGACTGGGTGTTCTTTTAAAAGCAGATTAAAAATCCACTATTAAATTGCTGGGTCTGTTATAGCTTCACAGTAAGCCTGTTAGCCATTCATTTTCACAGTTCATATCAGATCTGAGATACCTTAGATGTACAAATGATCAACCCCCTGCTGTACTTCACGCTGACAAGCTTTTCCCTACTTGAATAGTCCCCATTCTATGATGATGTACATAATAATGTTAAGGTTTAAATTATGAACAGTGAGGCATGCATGATATAAGAAATGTGTACAGAACTTTTGTTATGAAATCTCAGTGAAAGGACCATTTGGGAGACTCAATGTAGATGGCATATCCTAACAACTAAGAAACTATCAAGTACTTAATGTACGTGGAAATCATTATTTAGTTTGTTAAGATATGAATTAGATGACTCAATACATTGTCCAGTATTGAGATTTTACGATAAAAACAGAATTCTTTGATCAGTTGACTAATTTAAAGTGCTCAAATACTATGTTTTATTTGTTTGCACAGTGAAACATTGTCCTGGCGTCTGGCATTGGCAGTGTTCAAGCTTTTAACATTAGCATGGTTGGTAGCAGTACTAGTTGTCTTCCGGCGGTTTTCTGTCTTAAGTTATGGCACAACACCGCTGTCAGCCACAGATATTCTTCGGTTACGATGGAGAGACTCCTGGGATTTCATTCTCCATAGACAATAACTGAGTGGACATGGACAAACTATTTGATAAATAATACTCTCTTTTTGTAACCACTATCTCTTTAAAAAATTCTCTAAGTTGTCTTGCAATGGCAGCCTTTCATTCTGGTCTCTATCATTTTCAATAGTGTACTAAAGAGAACTGCTGATTTCATCTCTTTATTTTGCATATTATATTTTATTTTTTTAAAGGTTGACATTAATTAACATAAAACTTCATGAATATTATTACAATATGTCTTAGTAATGGCATGAATTCAATATGATACTTAAACTAAGGCAACTCTAATCTGGAGCTGTTAATTGTAACACAAAATTTTATAACTGTATCTGTCATACAAATTCTAGCAGATGGTGGTGTTTCAACAACTGTTATTTGTTTGAGATGATTGTGGGGAAGCAGTTGAGGAAGTAGGTGTGCTAAGAATAACATATTGTTCACAATGGACTGTTGCCAACTTTGTTAGATGTGTAATATTTTATGAGTGCTAGTTATTTTACTGTATGGGAAAATTTTTTGTTAAACAACTGTATGCTTTTCTCCCGAAAGTATTTTAACTAATTTGACAGATTTGTAATATTTTACTCTTCTGCTTTATGACATATTAAAGTTGCCTGTGGATTTGTTTCATTAATGTATTTTTCATACTACTAAGTGATGGATATACCACTTTTTTCATTATTTCAATTATATGGATATCAGAATTGTCCTTTATCATTCTTACACTCATTTAAAAGGAAAACATTTGCACCAGTATAAAACATATCCCTTTTGAATGTTGTTCATAGTAATTCCATGAAGGATTTATGGTGATGGCCTGCATTTTATTGCCACCTGCTAGGCACATCTTTATATTCATTCCTAGTCACTGAGAATGAATTGATCTCTTCATGCAGTTTGTGGTGGTCTGGGGTGTGATGCTGTGTAAACATGTAAATGGTTACCAACATTTCAGATTTCATATTACCTTCATCTTGTACCCTGATGTTCCTCCAAAATTTTGGTAACCACCTACAAGATTACATAATGCCACAATCAGAAGACCACAGACCAAAGATACTAGATACCTTTTGAATGTAGATGTTTGTGGTTTTCCTCAGTTCCTCCAAGCAAATGTCAAGAGTGGTGGTGGTCAATACTGTTTTATTATTACTGCTACTATTATGCATTGGTTGTGACAAATGGCCACGTAACATGAAAATGGTTAGATGTTATGCAACTGTTTTTTAGAAATGGATCATACTAAATATGCATGAACACAAAATATAGATCTCATTAAGATCTGAAACTGTTTGACAAATTTGTGTATAGTGTCTGGAATACAAAAAATGGTTTATGACTATGCAATAGTATATGTTCTGTTATTAATTAAGATGTGTTTAAAGGAACCTGCTTTTGAGCACAAGAATCTTCTGTCAGTAAGGCACATAGTATTGTATTTTATACATTGATTACATGGTTGAAGGTATTTTCTTAAGTGAAGACCAGCTGTTTTTTAAAAGTAAATAGCACAGTATTTTTATTAATTTTTACGAATTCTACATGTACTTGTCTTCCTCTCTTGGTATGAATGTCAAATGAGCTGGATAAGTGTTTGGCTTATGTTTGACAGTGCAAATCAAAAGTTACTAATACCATGTAGGATTTGAGGTTTTCACAGTGGTGAGTTTGAAGATTGCTGTCTTCTGGGTTATTGCGCCGTGTAGTCTGGTAATACCATTCAAAATCAAAAACATATCAGATTTCTTTGTTTATAATTCAAGTTCAGAAAGAAGCAATAGTCCCTTGTAGCAAATATGAAGATTTTTCCTTTTTAACAAGAGGTCTAGTTTATTAATCTGAACATACTGGTCAAGTAAGTATATTTCTGAAACCATGAGCCACTTGTTAAAGTGTTACAGATAAGGTGGGTGCTCTACAAAGATGACATATTTCTATATGAAGCTTGAAAACTCTGACTTTACTCCTGTGTGCAGCAGCAGTTATATTCACTGCCCACTTTGTCACAAAGAATTTTAAGCAACCTGGTATTAAGGGTGTTTAATACTTTTACAGTTTCATCCAGCACATTTTTTAGGCATTTGCATCATTTTATCAACATATGTTTGTCAGTGTAGAATGTTGTGACTACTCGAACAAGATGGTACCATACCTTGGGTACAGGCTACCACCGCTGCTAGTTTTCTAGCATTTAACATACTTTTACCAATTTAGTTCATTTAAGTATTTGTGATGTTGTCCCACGCGGTCTGAGGCATCATGCTTCGGACCGGTGATACAGAATGCGCGTTGGTTCGACTCTCAGGGAAAGAAATTTCTCATGAGATTTTTGAAAGGTGCCAACCTAGCATCGTGAGGAAATTGGGGAGCTACAATGGGTAGCGTAATCTGGTTATGAAAACTAGCAATGGCTGGGGGATTCGTCATGCTGACCACACGTCATCCTATATCTGGTTGGATGATCGTTCACCTCTGCTTAGGCATGTGAACGTGAGGCCAGCAGTCAGCTAGTCGGCTTTGGCTCTCATAGGGCTGTTATGCCACGGATTATTATTATTTGTGATGTTGAAAACTTTTTTAACCTATACCATGACATTCAAGAGATTTACTGCACATATAATCTTTCTGTTTTGTTCTCATTAACTAACCAAATCCCTGGTAGCAGAACCTGCAGGTTCAACACTGGCAACTCCATCCATTTGCCATCCTCACAGCCCACCATCCGTCTTGATGTTATGCCCAGTGGTCATTTTCCAGAAGGATTCCCTACCAAAATTCTGTATGCACCATCAGCCCCTTGCATGCTACATGTCCTGTCCATCAGAGCTTCCTAAATTTCACTATCCTCACTATGCTAGGTGACCCCAAACTTCAACTAAAAAACTTGTCATTGGCTGTACATTCTGGGTGAGTAGTTTCAAGATTCCTTTAAGTTTAGCAGGGAAATATGGACTGTTTGGTAATACTTTTGTTGTGTATGACACATTGCTCATCAGCACTGATATTACTAGACATGTAAACCCCAAGGACAAATGATTCCATTACTTCTGCATTTTACTATTTACTGCACCTATAGCAGTACACTGCTGTGTCTGGATGGTAATACTGAAGCTTGAAATTTTGGTACCAGCTTGTCATGCTTGTTTTTCTTAAATCTGCGTCCAATTAATCAGATTCATCATAAAATGCACAATTAAATACAAAAGCAGTTTGCTGCACTTAAAGTAGCTGTGAAAATAATGTAATGCTACTTATTTATTCCTCACAATTTCAATGTATCAACACATCTTGAACGAAAGTAAACTTGGTTTGTGAGAATTAATCCATGTCTCTACAGTAAATGTACCAATATATTATGGATACCTCTTTTATTTATTGTGATGTGCTGATTTGGCAAGCATGTGTTAGGTATAGGTGTTTTACTAACAGCACCAAATCAGTGTACTGCACAATTGCGGCAATTTCATTTCTCTTAACATGTTAAAAATGTGAAATTAAGATTTTCTGTGGAACCCAGTCTGGATTATGTGGTTATTCCATTAAATCTAGAATCACCGCTTTCAAAATTAAATTTGTGAAATTAACCCCAAAGTAAACGTGGAAAAACTATAAATTAAACTGGCATATTTTTAAAGCACTATCTGTTTGGAGGATTAATTCAATATGCACTATAAATAATTTAGGAAATTACTTTATTATATGATAAAGTGCTTCAAAGACAGGAAAAGAGATTACATCCCAAAACAGTGGATTAGCAGTTCTATTCCCTTTATGATGTGAAGATTAACTGGATGTGTCCATTGATTCAGCTGGCTCAATTGTGCGAACTGACACTTCTTCAATGTCAATAGGCACAGTCTTGCTGGACAATACGGCTGTAGTACCCCTTTTGTAACTGTATGATGCCTGCCTGAAAAACAAATGTGATAAAGTTACATCTTTGTCCTTTCATGACTGATCACTGTTTAAAAGCTGCTGGCTGTTGAGTACCTACATGTAAACAGAAACTGCCAGTTCCCAGAATGGTTTAACAAAGGTTGTAAATATTGTAACCTCTTGAGATTGAAGAGTAGATCAATAAGCAACTGTATCACA